CGTCATCTTGTAAAGTTATAACCATGGAAATACATGTACTTCGTACAAACTGGAACCCGCACTTTCGAATGACATAAAAAATAATAGAAAACGACCTTGAAATTTTTCATTACCCCTCAGTCTCTTTCTAATTAGGGTGAACACAAAATACAAGAATTTCGGATATTATGGGGAAAAATCAGTTTATTTTTATTATATTCATTTATAAAATTTTAATTTAATTGAAAATAGTAGAGTTCCATTGAAACGCATGATATTAGAGAAATTCATAAGGTCGAGCCTGCGGGCGGAAGTTTATTAATTAATATTATTTATTCGTGTACTTTTTTGTCAATAAACGAATAAACGAGTGAACAGGCTCTATATACAAAACTTTAACTAAAACTAAAATATTTTTGTCCGAAAATAAACAAAAAATTCGATTTCCCATACAAAATGTATCGGTCACGTGACCAATTTTGTATGGGAAGTCAATTTTTTTTTTAATTTCCACAAAGAAAATTCTTCAGTACCTTACTCAGGATGATGATTCATGGTTAAAGTTTTCGGGAGACTGTCTTTACATCTCTTATCATGTAACATAAGGAAATAATAAAACTAAAATAATAATAGTTTTTATTTACATTTATTATTACAATAGCAATAGTGTCTACAAATTTAAAATATACAATAATAATAATTAGAGGTGAAGGTTTTTACAACAACTCAATTTTTATACATGATTGAATAGTTTTGTGAAGTTTTTGTCACTTGGTACGAATAGCACTCAACTTTTAGTCCATAATTTTTTTTAGATGCGTTCTGAGACACATGGTCAAAAAAGAGTTTGAAATTCACAGCAACTATTTACCATTAGGTGGACTGTGTGCTCGTTTGTCACCCTATCCTATAAAACAAAATTTAAAATTCTGGATTAATGACATTAAGAGCAATTAATACTGTCATCCATAGGCTGGTTTTTTGTTATAGAATAAGGATGACAAACGAGCACACAGTCCAACTGATGGTAAGTGGTTGCTGCGGCCTATATTTATTTATTATTTATTGTGCGATCAAAAGACATTTACATCTATCCTCTATTACAAATCAAAATGCATCAGAATGCCTCTTTTCCAGTAAAAAGGATCTCCGGTTCTCTACACTCACCATACGAAACACAACAGCGTTAAACTGCTATTTTACGCTGGCATTCTGTGAGAGCGTGGTCCTTCCCCGGTCGAGCCGACCCATTCGTACTACTAATGTAATTAGTACTTCTTTTTGTGATAAATTAATCCTTGCTTGCACACTTATCAGCGCAAAATATTTGAATGGAGGAAGTGCTTTTGTCCATGACCTGAAAGAGTAAAAAGCTCTTACAACGAATATTTTTATAATGGACTTGTTAGTTGTGAAAATGCTATAGTCAGAACCAAAATCACAATTGAACTTTAAAAAACTGAAACACTGAAAAAATTTAGACATAATATGTAGTTAACAATTTAATAGACCAACAAACCATGCCGATATAATAAAAATGTCATTACTATTTTGGTTTTTTTTAGAGGATAAGGGTGACAAACGAGCACACAGTCCACCTGATGGTAATTGGTTGCTGTGACCCATAGACATCTACATTTATCCTCGATTACGAATCAAAATGCAGATGCGTTGTCACCCGTGAGGACTAAGATGGAATGCCTCGTTTCCAGTAAAAAGGATCTCCGGTTCTCTTCACTCACTATATGAAACACAGCAGCATTAAGCTGCTATTTTATGCTGGTATTCTGTGAGAGCGTGGTCCTTCCTCGGTCGAGCCGACCCATTCGTTTTACAACTATACCAGAAATATAGCTGCAGCATGGCTCTACCACGTATAATTTGTCACACTTATCGTACAATTTATCTAAAAAATGGATTTCCTGAGACCGCAATTTGAAATTTTAAAAATTAAATACAATTAAAAACTTAGCAAAATATGTACAAAATAGCTTGTAATTATTTTTCTAATTATAGCCTAGTGATATAACATATCAAGCTGTTCCTGCTTTCTAGGTAACAGAATGCATTTTTCTTTCTTTCTCAAAAATTGTTTTCTGCAATTTTTTTAAATTACTTTTCTTCCCTTGGAAACAAAACATCGCTTTGAATTAAGAAATAACAAGTACCTAACAAAAGCTCATACCTGTACCACAGAACAATCTGCTATTTCATTTAGAAACGGTGTGACTCCTTGTCTCAGCGGTTTCACAGTAATCATGTAATTGGTTGAAATAGATTACAAATCTTTGCTTTTTCAAAAAAGGCTATTTTTAGCTCAACATTGTTTAACCATTTATTAGGTTATGTTAGATTGGAAGGAAACCTGCAAAAAATTAAGTAATAAAAGATTTATAATTATTTTAATTTTGATGTTTCTGTGTATCATCATTCTTGTAAACAACATTTCGAAATTTCACGCAAATCGAGCAGAGAGACCATTCGAGAAAACCTTTTCCGTTTGTAATTAAAATAAAATACATTACAATGTATGGTCACCCTAGTCAAAGTTATAATACAAACATGAATCGTTAATTATGAAGCAAATAGCGAAATAAAATTGGAAATACCGAACCAAAATTAACATCTAAACCGAAATACCCATTGGTCTATACAGAAATAACAGCAATTAAATTCGAAATATCACTAAAAAATAGTTTCACATGACGCGCAGTATTTGCATGGTGTTTTGTACTTACGAATGAAATATAATATGTATTACATTTAATGACCATTTTACTAATTTTGCCTCTGCATTATTCCAAAATTCAAAAATAAAACTTGCGAAATGAACATAAACATCCGTCATGTACAGTAAAAATTATTTGACAAATAGATTTTGGGTTGTCATATAACGGTTTTTAAGAATAAATTTAAAACAGGGGAAATATGTAGGAAGCTAGGCAAATAGTTCATAGTAAATCTTTATTAAGTGTTTAAAAGAAAAAGCAAAAACTTGCGTGAAAACCGTTTTGTCAATTTTAGTTATCAATTTTTACTTATAATTCTTGCCATACTGACAATTAAACTTATACTGAAATTCATAATGGCTGTCAATGGGGTAATATCAGTCATCACGCTGGCTATCCTGTAGGGAAAAACAGGGACTACTCAAGGTCATTTGATTATTCCTAATGTTGATATTAGGAGTGTGGGTTCCAGTTTGTCTATACTTCCGTGGTTATAACGCAACCTGACTATTCAAAGTTCGAACACCGACTGTCGAGTGTCGACTGAGACTGACTCCGCGTCGTCGTATCGCAAAGAATGTTGCATACGTAGTACTATTATTTATTCTGTGGTTGCGGCAGCGCATCGGAAAGGACAATTGCGAACTACCATAAAAAATTCGTTGACATTTTTTTCTTGCATTTAGATATGAAAAATATAGAATTTAAAATTGTGAACAATTTTTTCTTCATCCATACTACTGCAAGAAGTCAGGAATTAATGATATTCTAGTATGAACAAAATTCACAGCAAATTAGGCGTACAGCCTAATTTGATGTGAATTTTGTATAACACCTTGGCCTGCCTTAATTCACTTGATTTTGAAAACTAATTTAATTGATCGTTCGAATAATAATAAGTCTAGCTCTATTTTCATAATAAAAATAAATAACTTCACAAGAACAAGTATATCGATGTTGATTGTTGTTAACATTACGAACGAAATCACTATAAATTAAAGACGTCGTGTCTTGTGAAATAATGTCACACATAATAACTATTACAATAGAGATGTTATTTTGTTAGTAAATCGGACGATACGAGTGTAATTACTCTTATATTTGGCATAGTATAAAGAGACCAAAGGTGATCACTTGACAATTACTTTCACACGCATGGATTACACGCAACATCCTTCAATAGATTTGTCTCTATTTTCCTTATTTGACAATTTAAATAGGAAAAAGCGAGACAAGTATATTGAGTCTACTAATACTTGTCTCGCTTTTTTCTATTTCCTATTTATGTAGTATTGTATGTTATCTCTACGCATACGTATGAATATAATGTCTTAAGCATTACAACAATGATAACTAGTCAATTTAATATTATTTGGCTATTAAATTAACATTTTCGGCTGGATGCTTATCCTTTAAACCATGTCTTCATTTCATGCTGGATTTTATTTTTTATACTTAGATTTTTCTTCACAATATGCTGATAAGTCATATTGCGAAATATTTGGAAGATTTTGACGACAACTCAACCCATTAGACTGTCGATGATGGTAACTTAAGTTCTCAAGGCGCCCAAGCGAACAAAATAACTTCAGATTTTTTAAAATAGAAGTAGTGACAAATGAGCACACAGTCCACCTGATGGTAAGTGGTTGCTGTGACGCATAGACATCTACATCTATCTTCGTTTGCGAATTAAAATGCAGATGCGTTGTCAGCCGTGAGGACTAACATAGAATGCCTCTTTTCCAGTAAAATGGGTCTCCAGTTCAACATTGAGCGGCTACGGTATGCTGTAAGGGCGTGTCTTACAAAAATATTAATGTTAGTGTAATAAAAAAGTCACGACCTGGTTTGGATTACCTCCCATATTAATAAGAATGTAAAACAAAAACTCATTTTTTAATATGTTTATCAGTAAAGTTCAAAGGATATTTTTTTTACATTTAGCCTCAAGTGAGAAGACGTTAAATACACTGATCTTAGCAGTATTAAGAATTACTATCTAAATAGCTTGGCTGTCATTATACCATTTATCAAAGAATAATTCCTTAAAATTCCGATTTGGTAAAACGCTGACAAACCTCAAATGGGCTCCTTGACAAAAAGCTGAGTTATTAATTAACTCTTAGGAAATTAGTGTTATCGGGGAAATTTATCCAAGCGGATTATTTAAGTTGATAAAAATTTATCTCAACGATTAAATGATTATGTTAAGCCCAATAAACAGTATTCCGAACGTTAGTATAAATGTTATTGTTTAGAAATCATTCAATAGTCTGCAAAGATTCTACAATGCGTGCGACACTTTTACTGTTGGCTTTGGGCTTAGCTGCTGTAGCAGGTGATCAGATAAATTTTTCCATAATGGATTATGTTATAACGTTACACAAATAAAACTTTATTTAGAAGTGACGTTTAAATTTTCCTCATTATTTATTAACTTACTACAATTGTACCGCGAATTCTTGGCATTAAATTTAAAAAAAAACTGGAGATCTATTATAGTGGCCTTTGGCAAGTAGTTCAGTTATAGAAAAAAACCTTTTTAGTTTATTTTAAAATAGAAATTGAACATCTAATAATTTTAGTATGGTAAAGGCTAGTGACCTTATAACTTTATACACATAATTATGTTTTAAGTCGTGTTGAAGTAAAAAAAATTGCTACAAACCGTAATTGCATTAAAACTTCAAGACAGATGATAAAGTGAGACCAAGAAAATTTAGATCAAATCTTTTTTAGGGTTTTTTGTTAATGAGATAGTGATCAAGAACTATACAAAAATTATCCATATTTTTTTAATAAAATATACGCTAGATCAGTTTGGCTCTATCTATTTGTGAACTTTCATCACAATCAGTTCCGTCATCAGACTGAAAAGGTAGACAGTCGTACAGACAGATATTACACAGATGTTTCCTTTTAAAGTAGTAACACATGTTACAATAGAATAAAGTTATTTCAATTAAAAGTTATAATAAGATTATATTATATTATTACGATTACGTCATTGCTTTAGTTGTGTTACTGTTGATCATGTGGTCTCGGGGTCAGTTCCCACAACACAAAATTAGTTATTGGGTTTTTCTGTTGAAAAGTTGTTAAGAAATTCTCAGGAGTAACCTCGAGAAATTGGCGGTGTTTCACGCCCGTGCCGTGTTTTATTACGTAAAGCTGTATGTTTTTTTTTATAGGATAGGGTGGCAAACGAGCACACAGTTCATCTGAAGGTAATGAACCATAGACATCTACATTTATCCTCAATAAAGAATTAAAATGCAGATGCGTCTTCACCCGTGAGTACTAAGATGGAATGCCGCTTTTTCAGTAAAACGGGTCTCCGGTTCTCTACACACCTTACGTACGTCTTACTATACACCATACGAAACACAGCAGTGTCAAGCTGCCATTTTACGCTGGTATTCTTTGAAAGCGTGGTCCTTCCCCGGTCAAGCCGACCCATTCGTGCTACAACTATACTAGCACTAGGTGTAGCATGACTCTACCACGTACTGCGCCTGATCTCTGTCTGGTTTTGTCGTATTGCCATTTCATCAGACTATGATAGTGAGACTAGCCGCCGTGACCGAAATTCGGTCTGGAAGACATTATTATTATATGAAATTATGAACGTCGTATGTTTGCATGTATGTATAGAATAGAATAGAATAGAATAGAATAGAATAATTTTTAATCAATATTCATATAAAAAGTCATTTTTAACTTTTACCAATAGTTTGGAAAAAACCTCTGTCCTGGGAAGAACCAGCAAGAAACCCAGCGGGACTTAACTTACAATATTATATTTATACAATTATTATGAAAACATTTAGAAACAACATGGTAGCGATTACCTCACAGGGGTTATCAATCATGTACTCTAGGTATAGTAGTGTAATAACCCTTACTAAACAAATTTTGCTTAATAAATATTTTAAACCCTGTGATAGAAAAGGTCTGCATATTTTCTGGCACTTTGTTTTAAAAGCGTATACTTAGCCCCATGAAGGAATTAGTGTCTCCTTGGAGTCGAGTAACTGATATTACTAACTACATATATGTATAACTAAATGTATGTATGTCTATATGTGGGTACACTTTTTAGCAGATTGTTTGCGTTTTAGTTATATGCAGTATGATTTTAACGTTTAATATTTGATTGCAGCCGTCCCTAAAAATCCACAAAAAATTATTGGTGGTTCAACGACAACTATCGAACAATATCCTTTCGCTGCGGCTCTTCTTTATTCTAGGTCTGGTTCTACTTACAATCAAGCTTGTGGCGGCACCGTAATAAACAACAGGGCTGTTCTTTCTGCTGCTCATTGTTTTGTGTAAGTAAATTTAAAAATTATATGGTTGTCTTTGTAGTCGTACCTCAGACCAATAAATAAAGATAGATGGAGCCCTGCGTACAATTAAAGTGACGCGGAAACTATGCTCATCTTGATTTCTTATATTTACACGAACACTACACATTGAATAAACCTATTTTTTTACGGATTTTATCGCGTTTAATTTACTATTTGAATTCCCGACGTTTTACAGCAACCCATGGTCACGGCGGGTACTGAGATGCTTGACGTCCCGATGTCACAGTTAGCCCGGCCACCTGCAGTTTTTTATTATTAATTTTTGGTTCGATTTACGCAGAAGAACTTACAGTATCTTGAAGTCTTGCATCGGTATGCTTGGGTTTGGATTTAATTTTGTTAATTATAGGATCCCAAGCAGTTGGCAGCACCCATCCATCTTCTCTATTGAAATTAGGATGTTTTTTAATTTCAATAGCCTTGCGTATCATCCTTGGTAGGAATCGGTGTTCTTTTGCGAGGATTTGTGGTCTATCAAATCTGATGTAATGACGATCTTGAACATGTGACCATGGGTTGCTGTAAAGCACTCGAAACGTCGGGAATTAAAGTAGTAAATTAAACGCGATAAAATCCCTAAAAAATAGTTTTATTCAATATGCTCATCTTCTTGACACGAACACTCGCATACATATTTTTTCTTTCTTTCTTTATCAGCCCGTAGAAGTTCTCCTAAACCCATGTCTTTGGGAGCAAAAATAAGTTTGGCATGGTTTTGGTTTAGTTTTTCCATCATATGAATGACTCTAAGCATGCTATTCTAGTTGTTTTAGTTCTAGTAGTATTCATCTAGTTCATGTTTAAACAAAAGCTTTTTTTCTATTTGCACCCACACCTCACAAAACGATGCAGTAAAAGTGTGGAAATAACGAAATATCAATGACCTTTGTATGATTAATTTGTTGCAGTGGTGACAGACCGAACAATTGGCAAATGCGATTGGGTTCCACCTGGGCCAACAGTGGTGGTGAGGTCTATCGTACAAACCAGATCATCTCTCACCCAAACTACAATTCGCGCACTAACGATAACGACGTCGCAATTTTACGTTCCTCATCCACTTTCTCGTTTAGCAACAGCGTCCGCGCTGCAAGCATTGCAGGTTTCAATTACAATCTTGGGGACAACCAAGCTGTTTGGGCTATCGGATGGGGTACCACTTCTGTAAGTCTTTCTTTCCTTTTAAGTATTTGTGTAAAATTGAAAGTAATCTCTTATCAATTACCGGCTTTTAGAATTTATGTTTAGGAACAAATTTTTTTCTGTTTGTTGATAAAGGAATTAAAATATAAATTAATAAGCTAGTTTAAGTTATATCCTATATAGCAATACGGGTAGCAGCATCTTCCATACAACAACTTAAAATAAAAAAGCTGCGGTTACCAACCCGACTGCCAAGCGTGGCCACATACGGCTAATATCTACCTTATGAAGCAATCTATGGGGGAGTAATAACAACTAATAATTAATAATATTTATGTTCATCAGAGGACTTTTGATGGGCTGTAATGTTCTAAATATCTTTATTCCTCAGTTGTCAGATTTTCAGTTCAGTACTTAAAATTGCAATAAACGATTTCATTGGTGCCGACGGGGCTCGAACTCAGTTTGCTCGTGTACTGTAAAGTTCACAGCGACCTCTTAGTCACTGAGCTACCATGGCTGTTAACATAATATTATTGAACAGATTGTCAACGATTTCGGCATAACAATTATAAATTTAATGCAATTCATTTTATTATAGGTTGGTGGACGTCCTTCTGAGCAATTACGTCACGTTGAAATATGGACCGTGAACCAGGACACTTGCAGAAGCCGTTACAGATTGTTAGGCTTGACTATTACTGACAACATGTTGTGCTCTGGTTGGTTGGATGTCGGCGGCCGCGACCAGTGTCAGGGTGACTCTGGAGGTCCTCTCATCCACAACGGTGTGATCGTTGGTGTGTGTTCCTTTGGATACCAGTGCGCACTCGCTCGTTATCCTGGTGTTAATGCTCGTGTCTCGCGCTTTACTTCTTGGATCCAATCAAACGCTTAAATCAGTATAAGTCAATGACATCACATAAGCATTGTTGTTATAAAATAGTTTCTAAGGGACTAATAAAAGTGATTAAAAAGTTTATGTTGTGTTGTATATTATTTTTGTGTGCATTTTGTAAGTACATACGCATAATAAATATAGCATTTTTATTATTTTATTGGCTAATCAACTGGCGGCGGAAAACGGAGCGAAGCGATGACAAGCCGCTTACTTAAAAATATGTTGAGTATTCAATTAATATAAAAAATCCAAAAAAAAATCAGTATTTAAATTTGACACGTTATTGTTATTAATTTTACTAATTATAAACATTGTACGATGTGTAAAAATACATATAAGTATTGCAGATATTTTTATTGGAAGGTCGTTTTGAGTCTACCACTTTTTTGTATCGAGAAAAATTTTCAAACCCTGTCTTGTAAACAACGGTGTTCAAGATTAACATATATTTTTTTCGCTGCCGTAAATAGTAGATATGGCTCAAATTTGTTTCAAGCAAACTTATTTGGGTCGTATCAGCGCTTTAATGTAGAAAAAATAAGGATAAACGAGCGTACAGTTCACATTTTGGTAAGTGAACGCTGTCGTTGTCAACATCTATCTGCAGTTAAGAATGTAGAGATGCGTTGAAATCTTCAAGGAGGCATCTGATCTCAGTCCTTGGTGCCTTATTACCAGTGAAAATGGCCTGCAGTTCTTATCAGTCACCATACGAAAGATAGTAATATTGTGCTGCTATACTATACTGACGTGGTGTTTCCCCTGACCAGCTGAACAACTCCTTATGTTGTCATAATATGTGGTAGCGTAGATCTATATTTAATACATATTATGTAATTTTAATTCCTTCTTAAGAAAAAGAAAACAAACTTATTTCCTTCGCGATCGTTTAATGTCCATTTTTTTTAAATTTTATTGGTAATTCAGCAATTAGATGGCGAGTACGTGTCGGATATACATGGGAAAATAGTGGTGAATGTACAGCAAATCATTAATCACGCGAGCTACAGTGCTTTTACTCAGGACAATGACATTGCAATTCTTAGACTTTACCAACCCTCAGTTCTCTAATAGCGTCCGTGCGGGAAGTATTACCGGTGTCAATTACAATCTTGGTGACATGCAGTTTATAGGTGGTAGAGCCACGCTGCAGGTATATTAGTAGTATAGTTGTAGCGCGAATGGGTCGGCTCGCCCAGGGAAGGACCGCACTCTCACAGAATACCAGCGTAAAATAGTAGTTCAGTAGTAGTAGTGTTTTGTATGATGAGTGTGGATATCCGGGGACCCATTTTACTGGAAACGAGGCATTCTATCTTAGTCCTCACAAGTGATAACACACCTGGATTTTGATTCGTAATAGAGGATAGATGTAGATGTCTATGGGCCACAGCAACCACTTACCATCAGGTGGACTGTGTGCTCGTTTGTTACCCTTCATAAAAAAACAACTTTGGGCTATCAGCTGGGTACTTACCGATGTAAGTAAAAAACTTTCGGACGGAACTTGAATATTATATTTAAGAATTAATTTGATTTTTAAGTGTTCTGCACTAAATTTAGCCAAGTGGATCATATATAGGAAAACTCTGTCTGTCTGTCACAGAACTTTTTCTCTGTGTATTTATACATAGCTGGTTGACAGATAGGGGCCGGAATAAGGAGCTGGTGGCACAAACCGCTGATAAAATTTTATAAAACTATATGGAAAGGAAATCTCATAAGTTTGTGAACAGAGAATTAATTACAATGAGCTTGTGTTACAGTAAGATGGATTAAACACAATAGTCACAGCTTGGATGCGGACTTACGATCACAGTTATCGTGTCTATTCTATTTTTTTCAAAACAATCTTATTATTTATATGGCCAAGTCATTGCCACAAGATTTTGCTACCTTTTGCGACACCGGTGAGTCGAGATGAGATAACAGATTTTTCTTGCGATGCCCCAATGCAATGAATAAAAAATATGAAAAACACCAATTTAATTTGTCATATTATCAACAGTTTATAAGTCATCCATCTGAGCAACTTCAACATGTACAGATCTGGACTGTAAACTAATAATAGTTTGTATGGTAGTTTCTTAACTGCCAACATGTTGTGCTCCGGTTAGCTGAATATCGGTGGTCCAGATCAATGCACTGGGGACTAAGGCGGACCTCTAATACATAATGGCGTCGTTGTTGGAGTGTGCTCTTTCGGCAATGCAAAGGTTAAGCTCGATTTCGTGGTGTCAATACATGTGTTTCTAGATTTACGTCATGGATTCAAGGCAATGCGTAATATTTAAATGGCATCGTACTATCCTATATAAGAAACGTGAATGTTTGTGAGGATTTATGGATGTTTATTACTCTTCTTCGCAAAAACTACTGAATGTATTTTAATGAAACTTCACAATAATAAAGGTCATACATTAGAACAACACATAGGCTATAATTAATGAAGGTATTCAAAAATCTGTCATCTGCGAGCTATTTGGCGTGCGGTGCAAGAACTGTAAGTTACACAAATATAATGTATGGTGGAATTGTTTCTCCTAAATAGTTCTAAAAAAAACCGCAACAGAATATAATATCTATCTTTTATGCGTAAGCCATTACTACTAAAATAGTGAACCATAAATAAATTAAAATTTGATACTTTAATTCCAATTCACATTTTGCAGTAACAAATGGATTTTATCAAAATAAATACTTTAATTGCTTCTGATGTTCAAAGTAGACAAATTTTGTCTTTTAAACTATGTAATTTGGTCAAATATTTTAAAAGTAACGACGATATAAAATTTTGCGGTCCGACGCGCGCAGGACGGTCGGGCGTACTGCGGGTGAGGTGGGGGAAAACATCGCTCATCACCCCGTGAGCAAATGTACCTCTTCACGCTTAAACCGCTGAACCGATTTAGATGAAATTTGGTATCGAGATAGTTTAAGGGGAAGTTCCGGGGAAGGAAATAGAATAGCTTTAATCACGGAAATCATCCCTAAAGAGGGTGTTGGAATTTACTATGAAAGTGCGATTCTATGTAATTGATTGTGTCATCTTTGTATATAGAATGTAGACTTTTCTTAAACATTTTGTAGAAAACGTTTTGAAGGACCATTTGCTCTGTTAACAACTCATATACAATAATTCCGCTAATAGAACCCCTTTGTCGTATCTCCTCAGTTTCAAGCCACTCCCCTTGTTGCCTCAGCCAGTATTGGAATCCTCGGCGTTGACATAGCGAAGAGATGTTGCATCCCTTTGCATTTTCTTTCGCATTTACCATAGGGAGTGCTCTGAGGAATTGTTCGGATTAATCCCAGCCGCCAAATTTCACGAACGCACATCGCGGCAGAACTCCCGATACCATCCCCACCATGTGGATTATTGGCGGATAACCACTGCGCGATTTAGAAGATGTTTTCTCCCTCGCACAACTTCCTTTTGGAATTGATTACCACCAGCGATTTTTCCGTACCGATACGACTTAGGGACCTTCAAGAAAAGAGCCCACTCCTTTTTAAAAGGCCTGCAACGCATCTGCAATTCCCTTGTTTCCCCTGATTGCAGTTGTTTATGGGTGGCGGTAGTCACCATCAGATGAGCCGCATGCTCGTTTGCCCTCTCTCCTATAAAAAAAAATTCGTTTCTCAATATTCAACTCTTCAAAATTTGAAAATAAACTTTTACACGCTTCTGTTTTTATAAAATTATTCTTTTACTGTCCTGTAGTTTTTACCAAATGACAGAACTTTCCTGAACTAAGGAAATTAAAATTATCCTTCTTATTGTAAAGTTAGAACGCGACCTGACTATTCGAAGTGTGAACAGCGACTGATATATATTTATTTTTCTATGCGACTAATTATTAGCACGTCGAATCGCAAATTTAAATATTACGGCAGCGCATCGAAAATTTTCACGTACATTGCGCATCGTCGTAAGTTTCTGCGATGCGTCGTCACACCGCAGTATTGTACAAATGCACTTAACTATTAATACACGTAAACCTGCTTGCTACCGAAAATAGATAAAAATAAAACATAATTATAATGTGAGCTTTGCAAGCAACGAGTGTATGTTAACATATACTTGCCATAACTGCGCTACTACGCGCCCTATGTGCTGAAAATTTTAACAACTGACAATAATAGATCTACTATAGTATTTTTAATGGAATAGTTATTACGATATAGTTTGTACTTTTTTCGTGTGTTAAAAATCTTTTATTTAAATCTGGTCTATATAATCCTTCTAATCTATACATATAATACGAACATGGTCCTAAAGTTTATGCTGGTTACTTCAAGAATTGACTAGTCAGAGTAATATGTGGAGGACTTAGTTGACGAAAATGTACAGGAACGCATTTGTATGGTGGATTAAGAGGGACACATACATAAGTCAAGAAATACTATATATCACGGGTTTACTGGTAAAAACTGCTTCCAAAAGTTTGAAAACTCATAATTCAATACAGTCACATTATGCAATGTTGATAACAATGTTTAATGATAAGGTGATATTCAAGGAAGAGCAATTTGAAAGAAAAAAAAAAGCCGTTATAATAATAACTTTTGCAGAAAATTTAAAAAAGTGTGAGAGGTCAAGCAGGTAACTGGTTTTTTATCTAGCCCTAAAATTATGGTTTTCTCGTGTTCAAGGGTTCGTTTTGAATATTCTCTCACACTACACAATCTTTGAAACTTGTTGATATAATTATTAACTATTATCTATGCAAATAAATAAAATTGAAGTGTAATGTCAAAGTTACATCTTTTTACTAAATGCATATGATAGTATATACGGTACTAACAGCAAAAATACAATTTTTTAAAGTTTTTGTCTGTCTGTCTGTCTGTCTGTCCGTCTGTCTGTCTGTTTGTTCCGGCTAATCTCCAAAACGGCTGGACTGATTTTGATAGGATTTTCAGTGGCAGATAGCTGATATAGCCATCTTAAATCCACCGTGCAGGACTTAAGTACGAGAATTAATTCCATGGAA